CACCCACCCACGCACCCACGCACCCATGCACGCCCGCCCGCCCGCCGCCCGCCCGCCCGCCCGCCCGCACGCACGCGCATGCACGCACGCGCACACGCGCACACACAGAGACAGAGAGACAGAGAGAGACAGAGAGACACAGAGACACAGACACACAGACACACAGACACACCGACACAGACACACAGACCCATAATTAGACATACAGACACACAGACACACAGACACACACGCACACACAGAGACAGAGAGAGACACAGAGACACCTCTGCCTCTAGCCCTGCTGAAAGAAAAGACACAGAGACAGAGAGGGGATCCGTGCCAACACCTACAACTACACCTAATCCACAAACCAAAGCAGTAGCACAGTTACGTCGTGGAGGAGGTGGCCGCAAAGATAAGTGTTGTCTTGCTTTGCTGTTTATGCTACGGGGGTCGGAGAGGTATGTTGCAAAAGGGGACCACCTCCAAAGCTAGCATCCCTGCAACGTCGGGGATGCTGTACATCAGCACAGAGAGGAAGTCGGCACAGACTGCATGGACAAGGCGGGGTTAGTTGCTGTTGCATAGGAAGAGGGGCTTTCCTGTGTGCCGACTCCTCACTCGTCTCACACCGACCTCCAAAGGACAGACAAGAGCCGTAGCGTGTGAGCGCAAGAGGGCAGGGGCAACTCTGCTCTCTAAACGGCGTGCAAGCAAGCAAGCAAGACACAGAGACACAGACACACAGACACACAGACACACAATTAGACACACAGGCAGACAGACAGACACACACACACACACACACGTGCAATCCTCCCTCTGTTTCGACTTGATACCTGAACTTTCTCCAGGGGTAAAGAATTTAAGCCACGTGGCAGTACATGCTTCAGACTCGGAACAAGATTGCTACTTACCACACTTTGGGGTTCTTGGCTTAGCCGCATCGCCATGGTCATGAAAACAATGCAGGTACACAGATTGGCCTCCCAATCTGCTTCACGGGGTATCCACAGCTGTCTTCGTTGGCAGCAGATCTGTTGACTCCCTGCTGCCCCCTGCACTATACAAAAATACGGCTTCCTACCTCTTGGTAACAGAGTTCCCCACACACAGACAGACAGAGACACAGACACAGACACAGACACAGACACAGACACAGAGACAGAGACAGAGACAGAGACAGAGACAGAGACAGACACAGAAAGAGACAGAGACAGAGACGGAGACAGAGACAGAGCACTTCACATACAGCTGGGGGGGATATCCTCCCTCCTTGACTTGGCCGCCGGAACTTCCATTATCGGGGAGTACGCATTTGCACCTGCGATACCTGGCACATGGTTTCTGGGTTGGAGAAGTGGTGGCGCGGGGGAGTGAACTCACCCCACCATATGGGAGAGTCCCTGACAGAGGCTTCGCAAGAGTCAGACAAACCTCTAGGAGGGGGGAGAGAGAGGGGTTTATCCCTCAGGGGACAGCCTTTGAACTCATCCCCGTCGGCCTTGTCCATCGCAACCTGGAGCCGGAACAATGGGTGCTACGAGTACGCAACCTACCCCCGGCCGACTCCAGAGATCCTGCAGGAGCTCCGCTGAAAGCTCGTAAATACCTGCTTACGTGGCGACCTAAAACAACATCGTGGGTGCTGGGGGACTTGACGGAAGAAGAAGGGGACGCATATCGCACTAGTGCCATGGTGAGGGGACCTCCAGTACCAGACATGAGTGCACTGGCCCAAGACCATGAGCTCGACTACCTCTCCGTTTTCCCCCGAGCGCTACATGGACGTGCGCATGGCCAGGGCGAAGACGCAATTTCCGCAGGACGACCCCTATCAACCCAGAGGGGGACGGAGGGAGGAACTGAGACAGATTGCGGCGGGGGAAATCCCAGCCATGCCACCACCGCCTGACCGCATCTACTATGCCCCCTCTGCGTCCCAAGTGCCAGCCTCAAGCCACATGCCCACAGTACTCCAAGACAGTCAAGGACATCGCCAGGGAGATGGGGGGACGTCAGCAGCGGACGTGCAGCAGGCCCAAACACCCTCCCCTGGACGGGGGGAGAACGTGCCACAACAAGGGGAGCAGCAAGGAACTGGGCAACACGCCCATCCCAAGGCACCACCGCCAAAGCCACCAAGCAGCTCTGAAGACGGATGGCCGAGTGAAGACGAAGTACCTGCGGGGGATCCTCCACCACTACCTCGACTAGCTCGACTACAACTCCAAGAGCAGAAAGCCCTCGGGGGTCGCGGAGCAGAAGCCCAGACAGGGGAGCAGGCCCCTCCGGGGGGCAAGCCGGCCAAGCCTCCAGCTCATCAACGGGGAGAACTTCCAACACGTATCCAACACCACCCCGTGATCCGCGTCGTCTTCCTGAAGAACAACTATTCGCGGGAGGAGTTAGACCGAGGTGGAGAACAGGGGCTGAGACATCGCGTACGGCGGCCATTACAGCAGGAAGGGGGGAGCTGAGGAGAATCAATCCAGCACAGATGGCGGACACCCTAGTTGAAGTGGTCAGACACATTCTGAGGGACACACTTCATGCCACGTCGGTGCGCACGGAACTGGCGGAAGTGGGGGAGCTCTTAGAGGACGTTGTGGCAGACTTCGGGGCCTCCATCAGACTCCGAGACAGTGTGGGGATTGCAGAGGGGAGGGACGCACTCATGGAAGCTGTCGACATCCTCGACCAAATTGTCCTCAACTACGACTCCGAGCGCGACGAGTTCACCATAGACCCAGCAACGTTACAAGACGATCTCCTCAGACTGGCCCAACAATTACAGATCGTCGTGCCCGCACAGGACAACTTGCTGGGGGATATTCGGGGAGAACTCCCCTCGCAGAGGCCATCGTCAAACTCGCAGGAGCTCTTCGAAGGTTATGGTGACGAGATGGGCTCATGCAGCAGTTGGGGGGAGGACGGGGGGAACATCATATACAACGACCCCAAACGTGGACGGACCTTCTGCAGCAGATCAGGGGGGAACTCAGCAACATGCCGCTTCAGTGTCGCCACGCATGTGTTCACCAACTGATCTGCCGACTTCACCGCCCGGGACCAGACCCGGCGGGGGACACTGAGGAAGGCCATAGATGCGCCATCCAGTTGCTGTCCGTGCTCGAGCATGAGTTCCTCGAAAGTTACCGTACCAATGGCCAATGTGAAGCGGACGCGATTTGGCTACTACTACGAGGGGAACGACTGGCCGAATATATAGACGGTATGAACGTGCCAGCAGAAGAACGAGTACGAGGAGGGGGAGATGAACACCCGGGACTTGCGGGGGGCTACCAGAACCATGAGGGGAACGTGAGGGACGCCAACAGGGGGAGACATCCCAGACTCCAGGGGGACGATGAAAACCAGCTGGACCACCCCGACGACTTCGAGCCCACGGCCCTGATACAGTCCCAGCTCAGAGGGAGACCCCCGAGAAGCAGAACGGCCCCACCTACTACCCGGGAAGTGGCATGCACTACGACCTCAACGACCACAACTCCAGCCGTGCGAGAAGGGGATGTACAACCGCCCAACGCCTCGTCTACAGCAAGAAGCAGGAGCCCAACGCGGAGGGGGACCAACCAGACCGAACAAAGGGACCCACCAACGCCAAGCCCGGTCAGGAGGGCTAGAAGCCAAGCGTCCCAACTCCTTGAGTCCATTGAGTCAGAAACCCAAGCGGCAGCGGAATACGTCATGAATGCCGAGGAGAGGGGGCGACAGCAAAGGGCCAACTACGCAGCAGAAGCCATGGAGCTGATCACCGAAGCAATGGGGCTGGCCAACGATGTGGGGATGCCAGGAGTGGTCGACTACCTAGCAGCCGCGGCGACAAGATTATCGCAACTCCATACAGTACGAACCAAGGGGACGAATAGAAGGGGGACACCACTGCCTACACCAAACGCCTTCGAGATTGCCGCGCTCACAGTAGGGGTCATGGAAGAAAGCAGCCAACAGGGGGAACAACCGTCGATGGCGGAAATGCTCGAACTGCTGGAGCTAGTACAAGCAGGCATGGCACTCCTCACAAGGGGGAGACATAGTTACAATTGGCAAGTTACGCACTGGGCCACCGACGCAGCGGAGGAGGCCCTGGCTCTACTCACGGTGGCGACGGCAACCGACAACCCGAACGAGCTGGGGGAAGCATCGCCACAGGTGGGGGATATTCTTCCTCGACTTCGAAATCTCCTGGACGAGGCGGCCACAGGCGTGGGGGTGCTGGTGGGGATCTACCCGCACCGGGGGGAGAACGAGTACATCCACCCGGCGGACACTATCGCGCAAGATCGAGAAGGACCAATACAGCCCGTCCAACATCCGCAAAGCGACCCACCCGATGCACTCCATGTCTACAGAGCACAGCGAGCACTACGGCAACTACACCCGTTCCTGGAAGGGGAGATGAGAGAACTGGGGGAGCAAGCGCTTGACCAGCTGGGAGCGTGGATACAATCGCATTGGGGGGAAGCAGTGCAACTCCTGAGCAGCGACGAGGAAGCGCCCCCCCAACAACAAAGCCGAGACGAAGAACAGGCCCCAGAGAAGGGGGGAGCGCCGCAAGCCACAGTGCCAGATGGGGACAGCGGGGCGGCCAGTTCCACAGCGCCCTTTACACGATTCACCGCACCAACGCCTGAGGGGCATACTGAAGGGGGTCCGCTGGATATGGCTAGAAGGCGACGCTCGTTCACGTCGCCAAGCTCGCTGGACAACGACGACTAAGGGGGGCATTTAGTACGTAGGGGGGTGATGACGACCCATTGCATGGCATGCTGTTATCGTCACTGAGCCTAGCCCGTTGTTGTCCGGGGGAGCAAATAACCGTAGCTGGGATTAGAAGTTCGCAGAACAGGGCAACGGAGCAGAGCTCCGAAACACCCATGACGAAAGGGGGGCCGCACACAATGGTTTCTAGGCTACTGCACCGTGGGGGTTTGGGGGTCAAAATGGGGGAGCCAAAGACGCTGGACGCGAACCGTCGTGGGGTAGGCCTTCGGGCCAGGGGTTTCGGCCCCATACCCCTAGCAAGCAAGCAAGCAAACAGAGACAGAGACAGAGACAGAGACAGAGACAGAGACAGACAGACAGACCCCTCATGCCCTGGTGAAGAAGAAGAAGACAGACAGACAGACACACGGGGGCACGTCACGAGAGCGTCCTCTCTCGATGGCACGTTCCCCTAGTGCGGTCTCGTGCATTGCACACGGAAGGATGTATCGCCCTTGGAATTCGTTATAAATTGTTATGCTTCACTCCAGGCACGCACACGCACAGAGTAGGAAAGCTCCCACGCGAAAAAAGTCTCCTAATAGAACAGGCTTCTCCGAAACTACACACAACAAGATTGAAACAAGGTCAATCCAAGTCATTTTCAGTGTGTAGTTGCTGATCACTTGAGAAGCCGATTTGCGGTGATATTGCACGGATCCAACAGTCCTCGAACTTGAAGCTGTTCAGACTGTGCGGCCACAGCGACATTGGGGCTTGAGAGATTCAATCCTGCACACTGTAGCCCTACTTCCCACGATAGCCAAAAAGAGCCGGAACTGCCCCGGGCTGCCCCGCCCAACCCCCCCCCCGCGTTGTCTTTGAGCTCTGCTGGATCGCTTCGAGTATCAAGGACAGAGCCCATATGGACCTTTCAGAACCCGTGATAAAGTTGTTTGCACTGGGGGGGGGCTGCCCCAACCCTCCCGCTTTTTAAGCCATGCAGGCTGGCTTTCAGGAACATCGCACCATCGACGAGAATTATTGCGGCAAGCACCCAGTTGTTGGGAGGATTTTCAAGACCTTCATACAAGCATTCTGGTGCCACATGAGGGGGGGCCGCACCTCCTCCGACACGCCCCGAAAGGAACCCTTAAAAGCCAAAACGGACACGATTAACAAGTCCTTGCAGGGACTCTTTCAGGAGTCCGAAGTCTTATAAATTTTAAACCCGAAACCCGAAGCAAGAATGCAGCCCAAGGAAGAGCCTCGCGGCTCCACATGTATAGCTTGTGGAATCCCAGATGAGAAGAACAGGCTTGAGAAAGTTGCGAGAATGCGACTGGGACTTCCCCAATAGCGTGCTGCAAAAAAAGACCCTGCAAGTGGGTCGTCCCCAATACTGTAGCTTACAGCAAGGCAAACTCAACCGAAGGTTCGGCCAAGCCTTCTGAAAAAAGTTTGGCCAAACCTTCTAAAAAAGACCCTTCCGCCTTTCATCTTGGTGTGGCAATGGCATGTGAGCTCCGGCAGGTGTCGAAGGGAACATCATTTAGGCCCAACCTCCACCTCAAGCGCACGGTTTCCACGTCGTTCGCCAACGACCTCCAGCGTATTGCAGCATCTCGGACCTCAACGGTGCTGTTTCCCTTCTCTGTGGAAGGCTGCATGGTTCTGGGAGGATGCTTCGCAGCTTCAAAGGAGTTTCGAGCAACTCCGTGCCCACCTCAGGAGGAAATCAAGAGCACGAGCCAGGTACTGAGATCGTCGCCGATTGGTCAGTGGCTTTACTTGCGTGGCAAAGTGCCGTTCGTGCCCAGGTGGACGCACGATCATCTATGTGCACATGCGGGATGACGCTTAGCCAGCACGATCGTTCTGAGTGTCGACGCTTTTCTCGGCTTCCAGCGAATTTTTGGAGCGGACCGAGCCTGGGCCCCTGTTCGTGACAAGGACGTCGACAAGGTGAGCAAGCAACTCAAGGCATGTCCACCTGTAGCTCTGCACAGACGCGTAAGACGGCGTTAAGTGGCATCATCTCTGACAAGTCAGCAACCGTTGAAGGAATTGCTGCCCTCATTGAGCGAGCAAGGGTCAGCTGTGACAGATGCCTGGCACGCATGGCATCGGTATGGGCATGAATAGACAGTCGCGAGAGTCCAAACCCTAGCTCGGACGTCGTGAAGCCATGCTTGCCTTGCGCGAGAGTGTGAGTCGAAACCCTGGCAAAAAAAACTTGCTATAGGCATGAGGTGAACTGCTGCTGTGATTTCGGTTATTAGGGAGGGACGATTGGGAGATGGGCAGTGAGTTTCGTGTGAACGCAGGCCTATTTGGGTTGCGGATGGAATATAGTTTGTCAAAACAAGACATACACAGTGGCCTTTGTCTAACAGCCTCGTCCTATGTAGGAGTTCTGGAAGCCCTACCACTCCAGACGGAAACGGGGCTGCAAAAACAAAAACTAAACGCCTCGGTTGCACTAGTCTTGGCATCAATGCATGCCCAGTGCACGAAGCTTCGGAAACGTTTGCCTTGCCTGTTTCGCCTAGCAGTGAGAGTCGAAACGCTTCGGCCAAGGCACGAGTGTCGAAACACAGTCTGGGACGTCAAGCTGGCATCCAAGCTTTCAGGCTGGTGCGTTGCTCAGGTCGGGTCCTACCATGCCAGAATCCAGCAGCGCCACTTCGATGAAGTATACTTGGCACGGGTAGGGGCTTAGGGGCTGCGTGACTGTTTGGATCCTTCGCCCATGACGTGACTGACCAACACATATCTTGAAGGCAATGTAAAGTCCATAGTGTACAGCATGGCTGTATTTTGCAGCACACGGCAACATGTTCGTTGCAACATGCTCGTACATGCGAGCGCCAAGTCTGAAGGGGGGGGTAGCGGCCTGGCGAGCGCGGAGTCTCTGACATTTCAACTCAAAAGCGCCGACAGTTACACGGATCTGGATCTTGCTGTCACTTCGACGGATGGCTCGTTTAAGTCCTGACTGCCGCTTATATCTTACATTCAGATTCATTTGCACCTGCGGACTTGGGTAGGATTGGGGTCTGTCATCATCCGTGTGTGCCGATGTGGATGGATGTTGGTTTCCAGTTTGGGTTTGACTTGAATCCTCCCCGCCTACGTGGGTGTGGGTGGATCTGGACCCCCCTCCCCCTCATGTGGTGTGGCTTCATGCCAAGTCAAGACTCGGCGAGTCTCTGGACGAACCTATTTGCCCCAGTTGTCGCCAAGTCGTAGACAGTGGTTTCATGAGTGCTTTCGTCGGGCGTAGCGAACCTGCATGTGAAATGGCACCTGCATGTAGACAAACGTGAAGGATCTGTTGTCAAACCACCAACGCCCTTTACACCACCCTGCACGTGAACGCCAATATGTCGTACAAGTAGGCGTACAAGTAGGTTGAAAATGCATGTGTGATGTCAGTACAGGGAGGAGAGTGTCCCAACCGTGATGATAAGCCCACACCACACCACAGGAAGAGGGGGAGAGGGGGCCGGGATCTGTGGTGCAGTTTGGTTCAGGGTTTGGGTTTGCTTGGGCCTCTGGCATCATCCTCATGGTAGGTGGGCTCTCCATCATCATGCTTTGTGGACTCTCCTGCCCTCCCTGTGGTGTGGGGTGGGCCGTGGAAGTCTGCGAACAGAATGCCAATTTTCCACGCCTTGAGTTCTTTTCAAACTTCGCTGCTAGAACTTCGAAGTGTTTCGCTGCTTGGACTTTCCGAGATAGTGCCATATACAGTGCTGTCCAGTCGCGATAGCAAAAAACGTTGCAATTATGATCCTTCCGGGCAGATCGGCGCATCAGCCAAAGCTACATATGCAAAATTACACCAAGCATGATGCAGTATGTGCTTTATGATTTGATACAATGTTCAAACATGTTGCATCAGTCTGTCACCTGCGGCCGGTGCTGAAAGGTCAACGAGACAAAGCTCATTTCGAGTTCTCCAGCGCGGGAGGTCCGGCATGTGCGCGAATGTGGTCCGAGCTGAGCTGAGCAGCTGCGTCTGAATGGCCTTTGGAGCCAATCTGGGAGGAGATCGGGTGATGGTCGCCACGGCAGGGCTCGCAGCATGACCGGTCGAGATCTGCAATCAGATCTGAAGGTGGCGTACGGCATGGGCGTACACTTCCCGGATGTCCGGCGTGTGTACCATTTGGGCTCGCCGTGGACCGTGCTGTGCTTGGCTGTCGCCATGTTGCTGGCTGACGTTGGGATCTGGTCCGCTGAGGTGGAGAGCTATCTGCAACAGTTGCAGGGCTGCACATAGCTGTGCGCACAATGCCTCAGCGGCATAACTTCGGCCTCAGCTGGACAGTTGCAAGCTGTCAGGATTGGTCGAGCCGGTCGAGATGGTGAGCCGGCCACGTGTGAAGTCATCTCTGCAAGCCGGGACTTTGTGCAAACCTCGGCTCCGGACTGCTGAGACAAATGTGTTGCATGGCGTGACGCGAGGCCCGAGCCGTGTATGCACAATCCTCTGACAGCGAGGACGGGCTTGAGCGGCCGTGGATTTTTGAGGCCGCTAGGACCTAGGAGTCGAGTCAGGAATGGGAGCGGAAGTCCATGGAGCAGATGCGGCATCTACTTCATGGACACAGCTGTCGCTGGTTAGAACTGCTGCGCTACCTGGGCGAGGCCATGCTCCACCAGATGTTTCATTGGTTCGATTGAATCTCCCTGTTGCACTCCCTGAGTCATGCCGTACTGTAACTGTGCACCTGGACCGGACTGGGCAGGAGCCAGAGCCCCCTGCCAGCAAGGACGATCAGCGTGAATTGCAGCGGGAGCGTGGCTTCTGCAGGTTCGGCTCGCGTTGTGGCGTGTGTGACATCTGTTTAGCCGAAGGTGGAAAGGACTCCTGCACCTGTCTAGCGATAGGATGTCAGAAGATGTAGGAGTCGCTGCAAGCTTCCTCTAGGAGGCCGACCGCGACCTTGCCAGAGAAGCGATCGAGATCCTTCGGCTCGTGAAGGATTGTGCAGACATTGGCTTTAGTCCGATTCCTGGGTGGCAAGCAGAAAAATTGTGCTTTTATGCTTGTTCAGCTTTGGGCATATCGCCTGCAACAGCCCTCGGAAGAGCGAGAGTTCGGTTGTAGGCCAAGCCAAGGACTCAAAGCCAATTGGTAGCGATGCTCTGCGGGAGCATGCCAAAAGTGAAAGGCCGGCTCTGTCGCAGCACAGGAGGTGGTGCTTGCGGGCACAACCTTGCACACTTTGCTTTGAACCTCAGTCCCTTCATGTTCTTCTCGACCTTTGTGATGGCAACTGCCTCGTAACTTGCGACAGAAGTCGAGAGTGAAAGTGGCAAGGCACAGCAAAGATCCGCGAGACGGGCAATCTTGGTCTTGAAGAGAGATTTCATCGATGCTGGGAGCTCAGCACTGAGGTTGTCTTTGTCCACCTTTTGCGAAGCGTTCAGGTCAGGAAATTACCGGACTCAGCACGAAGATAAAGCTGAAACAGTATTTGCAGGAGGTCGTGGAGACATTGGCTGGCTACTTGCATTGCATAGGGGGCGACATGCATGGGACACCTGTGGTGAACAGTCGAGCTAACCGATGCAAGGGTCCTGGTATTTGCGACGGCGCAAGAGGCATTGTGGGACATTCTTTCGTGAGCGTTACTTGGAGATTGCAAGCCTTCAGCTTCGCTTGGCGTTTATCCCAGTTTTGTCCGGCTCCGTTACCCCAAGGTACGTTCGAGGTCCTCGTCCAGACAGCCAGAGGGCGGAATTTCCTTGAAGAAGTTTCCGCAGGAAGCACAGGGCTCAGGATCGCACCGTAAATGGTCGATGTCAGCAAGTGTGACATGACTTAAAGGGGAGGGGTTGCAGTTTTGTCAGGCACGGTAGGGCTAATTACAGCCCCAGGTGATGCGCATGCTACAAACCTATGCCATGAGCTCGCGGCATGGCAGCGTGCTTTGGAGTTTTGCGGGCCTTCTGCGGCCCGAAACATCAAATCGATACATGATGATGCATGAGCCCAGCTTCTTTTAGAAGCCATGCTGGCGCAGTGGAAACCTGGGCCCGGTGAAGGAATACGAAGGCTGAGCTCATTAAGTAAATCGGATGAATGCAAAGGCCAACAGGTGCTCGTTGCTGTTCCTTCCTACCTGTTTGGGGCTCTCAGCAGGCTCGCAAGGTTTCCTGACGACAATGAAGCTGTTGTGAACGTCGCCTGTTGCTCCGGGATCCCACGCCCTGCGCACATGCGTGTGTTTGCTGCTTCAGCTAACCTTAGGAGATGCATGGGTGAGCAAGAACGGTCTAGGTTCCCAAGACTGGGATTCCGCGAAAATTATTTCCTGTCAGCTGCCAGCCTGTCAACTTTCAAGCAGCTTCTGGTGGTTGGCGTTAGTTTTTTACTCTCAGGAGAGTGGTTCAGCAGGCCTCAGCAAGCGACCCGGAAACAACGGTACAACTTGGGGCATCGGCGCGAGTCAGACTCCTCGGAGCACATGCCCGCCACATTCGGCCACTCTGTATTCTAGCCTTCTTTCCCTTGTGATGTTGCCTTGCGCAGACAAAGGTACTCCACAGGCACGTGCGCTTTGGAAGTTGTCGTGATCCAGTCGGCATCGGTAGGGCCGTAGGCTTTGAGCATTGTGCTGGATGGTTGTCCGTGCCTCCCTGCGACTTTCCGATTTGGCTAAGTTTCGGCAGGTCAGCCTGCCAGTGAGCCTGGCATGCAGACAGCTGCTAGACGACGCTATCAAGAGAGGGCGGGCTGCCGCACCTGCTGTCGCTAGACCGCAGAGTCTTCCCTCCTTCTGTCAAGTGGACCGGTCCCGCTGGAACACCTGGTATGAGACATGCATGGGCATGATGGTCAGGCCTTTTGGATGGTTATATTTTCTGGCGATGTTGCTACGGGAAGGAGGGAAGGAAGGAAGGAAGAAACCAAAGGGATGGGATCACGAAAAAATAGGTCAGGACCAAGACAAAGAAGAAGGAATGAAGGAAGAAAGGAAACGCAACCGATATACAGAAAAAAAGAGAGAAACAGCATCAACTGGCGAACCAAGACAGGAAAGAACACACAATCTGAATAAGGAGCGCATATTCGAACGATCGAACGTACTCACGCGATAAAGGTGGCCACAAAACTACGCTGCTGCTTCAGCTTGCTGTTGCTGATCCCCCCCTCCTACTGCCTCTGCCACCGCCACTTCTTCTACTACTACAACTACTACTATTCCTATTCCTACTCCTACTACTGCTTCTGCTATTGCTATTTCTACTGCCACTGCCACTGCCTACTGCTACTGTTGCTGCTGCTGCTGCTAGTGCTGCTACTGCTGCTACTGCTGCTACTGCTGCTACTCCTACTCCTACTCCTACTCCTACTCCTACTCCCACTCCTACTCCTACTGCTACTACTACTGCTACTACTACTACTACTCCTACTCCTACTGCTACTGCTACTGCTACCACTCACTACTACTACTACTACTACTACTGCTACTACTACTAACTACTACTACTACTACTACTACTACTACCACTACCACTACCACTACCACTACCACTACTACTACGACTACGACTACGACTAC